TGTTTCTACCTGAAACTGTCCCCTCCTGCAGGTCTGACTGCTCTGGTAGAGACCCAGCACACTGTGATGGCAGCAATGGGAGAAGAGTCATGCTTACAGTGTCAGCTGATGCAAACCAAGACTGTTCTGCAAGTCACCTGGCAGAAAGTCCTCCCTGCGGGCGAAGACAATATTGCTACTTACACCACAAAGTTTGGTCAGACAGTGAATGCTAATTTTAAAGGAAGAGTGGAGTTTAAAACTGCTGGACTGCAGAACTGCTCCATAAATATCATGAACGTCACGGACCGAGATGAGGGATGCTATCGCTGTCTGTTTAACACCATCCCCGAAGGTGCTTTCATCGGGAGAACCTGCCTCCAGATCTACGGTAAGAGACTTTGTTAAAAAACATATTTATTTTAGGGAATGGGATATCATCAACAGCATGTCAGCCATCTTCTGAGGATACGATACTTCATTTTAATAGCATACAGGTGTAGGCGCTAACTCCCATCACCAGACAGGCGCAGACATTAAGGGGAAATATATTTTGTGTGTACTTTATGAATTTTGGATTCTAAATATCTACGTCCCACAATACACCGCGGTTCCCATTCCCTCATCTGTCTTCTCTGTATTCAAATCTGTTTCTCTTTGCAGAGCTGCACGAACCCTTTCTGCACGTCGTAGACTCGGTGGTCTCCTGCTCGGCCACGGGTCGACCTGCTCCCACGGTAACCCTGACTCTTCCTCACAACAACTCTACATCTGTCGCCAATAGCAACGGAACATTCACTGTCACTGTGACAGCTCGTCTTCACAACAACAGCAGAGAGGTTGGATGTAACGCACAAGTTCTCACTGCTCCTCAGAAAGAGGCGTCCATGACGATCCCAGAGGTCAAAATGTTGGCTATTAAAGGTGAGAGACACTTCCACAAAAATCCAAGAAAATGAACGATTTCTCGATTGCTCATTGTTTTTATTCTCCAGGTTCTGAAGAAGACTCCCGTTCTGATAACAGTGGCGTTGGTAAGTTATCCTGTAGCTGACCTTAAGTCAGTATTACAATTCTATTTGTATTTTTGCTTTATTCATGTTGTTTCCTCTTTTCTCACAGCTTTGGCTCTGATCATTGTGTCTGTGGTACTCTCCTGTGTGTGTGTTGCGGTTGCAATCACCGCCTTCCTGTGTATAAGAAAACATCTGAGAAGGTAATTTTATAATTTTATACTTTTATTAAAGCACCTTTCCCACTGGACAAAAAACACTTTCACCTTTAACCAGGTACATCTACATAAACTACATTTATTTCATACCTTTAGTCACTTTCAATTTTCAAATGACTAATGCAAAATATAATCAACTAATATGTTTTATAGGTTCAGATGTAGTCCTAGTCTGGCACGATGCTATGCTTCAACCTGAATATATAATACATTAAATGTCTTC